TTTGCCTACAAACACAGTTTACTAATTAAATTCCAGGGACTTAAATAATTCTAATGAGTTCACGAATTATCTATAAATTCTATGTTCCAAAAACCTTAAATTTGTTTCACCACATTTCCTATCTCATCATCATATTTATCTTTGATAGGAGATTAGATGTTGATTACATGAAGGACAAAAGTGTTTTTCATCATGAATTATTAACAAATCCTCTAAAAACATGTAGATACATCTTGAAAGCAATTGCAAAAAGTGGAAGGATCATTCAAATTACAGCAATAAAAGCCAAATGCAATCATTAAAATGCGCTCCGCCCGTCCGTCCAGCACATTCGTCTTTTTCCGGAGCAGAACTTCAAAACCGCTCACTATTTCTTCACCAAACGCGGCACATAGATAGATCTGCTAGCGGGTGTACTGCGCCTTTGGTAGTTTGGGATTTCTGTATAAAACATTTTGTGTGTGTTTCCCATTTTGCAAATAAATTTTGAATTTTGACTAAAATTGGTGGTAGTGTTCTTTTTCAGGAGCAGAACTGTAAAACTGTTCTTAAATTTTCACCACAAATTGCATATATATCAATCAGAACCTTAAGGGTGCCCTGGCTATTTCGGTAGATTTTTGACATTTTATTTTTCTCGGTTCCATGGAAACGGATTTTAATTTAGTCTCAAAACGTAGGGTGGGCTTCTTCTCCTGTCTTCACTATCTTCTGCAACAAAGCGGCATATGCTATAACGGTGACCTGTGCCAAGTCTCGTTACTCTGCCTTTCAGGCTCATTTTTCTATGATTTGGAACAATTTGGTAACGCAAGTAAAAAAAATCAAGTTGGACTGGGGCAACTGGGTCAGATGATTTGTTCTTTCAAATTTCTGGAGCCTGGGGATTTTGTCATCTTTGATGACTCTTGTTTTGATAAGTTATAGCAGTGAGTTTCACAAAAAATAGACATGTCGTCAAATACTAAGCTGCAACTATATCTCTTCCATCCCTTTGTTTTGTCTTCAACTTGCCCTTGGTAATGGGCACAGACAGTGTCATCCATGGTTTCTTCCCTCAATTTTCAACCTTTGAATACCAGTAACAGCGCATATCAATGTTAATTATTAATTATCACTTTAATTTTAACATGAGTTTAAACTTATACCTTCAAAAAGAATAAACTTCATGCACATGTTCAAGTATCCTTATCATTGTTAATGTTCTCAATAACCATCTAATTGCACCTTGAAAAGCAGACTTCTAAACTAACTCTTCATTGATAATTTGAGCCTGCTGTGTTTGCTGTCAAAAGATAAGAGGTAATTGTAACGTTTTGGTAAAATGAATCTTCTTCAGTTGACCTAACAAATAAAGTTCTCTCTGTCCAATGGTGGTGTATGCAAAAACAAGAGTTTAAGTACATGATGGACGGCATTGTGCTGTAATTTGAATGATCCCCTTATTCAACAATTGATTTATTGATGTATCTCCTTATTTTAGTTTTTGTTTATAAATAATGATGACAAAATGTCACTTTCGGCCAATTTGGTCACAATATGGAAATGAAAAGATGATTTTGGCAAGGTTTGTAGCTGGTGCTTTCTGAGACCCAATGAATAACATGGAAACATTTAAAAATTTTATTCATGGGTGCAGAGAGTTGTAAACTGAGAAATATTTAAGGTTTTTTGGGTACATACATATGAAATTTATAGAATAATTCGTCGTAGGAACTCATTAATTATTTAAGTCCTACCCAATTTGTAATTTAGTAAACTGTATGTTTTAGGTAAGTAAATATTCACCAGAGTAGTGCTATGATACCCATGGAACTGTGAAGGTGACAACAATAATCTTATATTATATATGAAGCACTTGAAAACTCACCAGCAAATCCTTTGAAAACAGCTGTTGAAAAAAGCGAAGGAATTAGCCTGTCAGTCTAGATTGAAAACGAAAATCTCCATACAATCGTTTTGAATTGCCTTTTAAATGTATGAAAATGTGTTGTCAACAAGCGTCAACGAGGTATGAGGTACACGCAGTGTTACTATTTTGGGAGGGATAGCCCCTCGCGTCACAGGTCACGTGGATTCAAAATGGCCCCGCCTCATATGTGAGCGATCGACTGAGATGTTTGATGGCTTGTAAATATATATTTTGGATATTTTGATAACGAAAAGGGGCGCACGTGTAGGCATAAGGGCACAAAGAAGTAATCAATATAAGTTTTTCGTGCAAAAAATCGTAACGAGTGCGCGAAAGTGCGATAAAGGATTTCCACCATTTAGTGGCCTATGGAGGTGCTGCATAGCGTTCATGTCATGCCAGAACGCTATGCATCTTAGCTAGAGGAGAATGTGACATAATGTAGACTTGCTTCGTGGTAGGCCTTGAGATGCCAGTCTGTGTGAAAGGTAAAACTGTGGTTCATAACTGTGAGACAGACTATACTACGCGTTCAATATGCCGTGCAATATATCCACACATTATCTGTTCATCTGCCATTCTGTTGTATTGTCTTCGCACACTGTTAATATGTCCATGTGGTGGAGTAGCGTCCACCTCAGCCGCAAGGAGAGTGTTGATAGAAGCATGCATGAAATAGCGACCACTTTCGCTTAGTTTCAGAGTGAGTTAGTGAATTTAGTTTTACACCGCTTTTAGCAATATTCTAGCAATATCACGACGGGGGACACCAGAAATGGGCTTCACACATTGAACTCATGTGGGGAATCGAACCTGGGTGTTCGGCGTGACGTGCGGACGCTTTTAGGCTACCCCACTGCCGCCCATTTGACTGTAATGCATGCTATCTCAGTTAACTGGCACTATATAACTGGTAGCATTCACCGGAAGTACACACTACCAGACACGCACGCACCCACGTGTACGCTCAAAAGAGGCTACTAACGGGATCGGGTGGTCAGGCTCGCGTTGACATGGTGGCATCGTATCCCAATTGTGTAGATCGATGCTCATGCTGTTGATCACTGGATTGCCTGGTCCAGACTCGATTATTTACATATCGCCGCCATATAGCTGGAATACTGCTGAGTGCAGCGCTAAACGACAACTAACCAACAAGTGTATGTACTTTCAATGTTATTCTGCAATAATATAAAAATTAAACGAGACTTACCTGTAAGGTGAAGTTTGATTGTAATTCCGAGGTACCAGGGAACAAGTGAGATCACATGAAATCCGACTGCGCATGCGCCATCTCGTGTGGTCTCTCATGTTACCTGGTACTGAGGGAGAATTTGGAACGCCCTGTTAAACCCCATGAGAAATATCTACTAAAAGCACCGTCTTCCAGCTATCATCGGTGGCAAGCACCTGTCACAAACACACGCAAAGACAAGTCAACTATTCACATAAAACAACTCGGAGACACATGGATAAAAAATCTAAACGGAGAAATGCATGCCGCCAATGGGTAAAAATACCCTGGGTGTTACAATCCTGTTTATGGGCACAATGTGTGAAGCCCATTTCTGGTGTCCCCCGCCGTGATGTTGCTGGAATGTTGCTAAAAGCGGCGTAAAACCAAACTCAGTCAGTCAGTCAGTACAATCCTGTTACAGCGCTTCTATGTGTAAGATCTGTTAGACGCTCTTTGAAGTCATTCGTATAGAGAGCATGCTCAACTGCATTCTCTTCCCACAGAGGTTACTCCTGTCATATCTTCCTACATAACCTCTGTTCTAATACGGCCATATTTCCCGGTCCTCGTAAAATCCCCTAGCGGCAAAAAGATCGCAACACGAATTATCTCCCTTCTTTCTATCCAATCAGAACACGTGTTACATCGACTTAGATTCAATTTGACTAACACAAGCAAATGCGGGGCCACAAATATCCCCATCTGCCGGGGAATTGTGTTGATGTTACACACAAGACGCTTTAATGGCTAGCTTTGTCTATTGTCAACGAGGGCGATGGAGACGCCATTGATACGCCATTACATGACTGAGTTCTGTCTCAGAAGAAACGTTTGCGCATCGCGCTCGGAAGAGGTTCTAGTTTTCCCAGAAGCATACGGAAATTGACGAGGCCTTGCGAATGATCACTTTTGAAACAACGTCGCTGATTGCACAACTAAATCGGCTTGTATCGCACTTAGAGATTTTATCGCACTTAGAGATGAGCGTGGTGTTGTCTCTCTAGTGGATGTCCTTGCATGAACAACACAAGTCCGTCTGAGGGTCCACAACTCTTTATTCAGTGCTACACTTTCAAGCGTAGGCTCGAGCTTCTCTGCAGCTTCTCCTCCCAAGGCCTAGTGCCTGTACCGTTATATACCCAGGGTTGGTCATTCTTGGTCCTTTTGTCTTTGGCCCCTTCGCATCTGGTCAGTAATGAGTCAGCCGTCTTCGATCTCCCCATTTGCCCTTAAACCCTAATAAGCCTTTAATCATTATATCTGGACAAGGAAATCAATGGCCAAGATGCATATTGCTCGATGTGTTATTCGATATGTGGGATGACTTGGCCAAAGTGTCCTTTGTCCAGTGTACTGCTGATCAGGGGCTATTGTTTGATCCCCTGTCCAGTACTATATTTAGGGGACAGCACGTGTGCCTGATTAGCGAGGGACGGCTGTTCATCTATTACTGACCTCCCTCCCGCTGTCACTCTGACGAACATTTCCCAAAGACAATGGCATCTCATCGACCAGCGACAGTGTTCAATTTCTTAATTGCTTACTGAGAGGGGCCAGCTGGGCTTCTGGTATTCTACCCTGGATATACTTCCCGTCGTATCGTAAGGACGTGACCTCACGTCCTTACGTGGAGAATCTACGACCAATGACCGTGACCAACCCTGAGGGGTACAATTATGTTACGTAAGAATGGAGATTATACAATGTCAATGGGTTACAGCATTTACATCTGATGTACATATAGCACATATACATGGCGAGTGTTTTTTAAATGATGGACATGATATATTCAAACAAAGACGATATATAGTAGCGCGTTATATAATGTACAATGGAAGTTATGATAGAGCACCGTTACCGATTGAATTTAAGTGATGGACATACATGGAAGTTATGATATAGCCCAGTTACGCAGTGAATTTACATGATGGACATGGTAGATAAAATCAATTAGTGTCATTATAAACATGTACATAAATGGAAGTTAGGATATAATGTGGACCCGTATTTGTCATTTTACAAAGTAATAACATATATACAGAGCTACAAGTACATTCCACTACGATATAACGCGACCTAACAGAAATATGGTGGTGTGTAAAGTGTTTGCGGAATCCAATGATGTATATGTGACAAACCATCATTGGTGTGTATGGTGTGTCGTGAAATTGTGTGCGGGCTAGAGACTGTGATGCTGGTAATTATAGGGAATGGTACTGGGAATGTGGGTTGGGGTTAACTTGTACACTGCCAGCATAACTATTATTACTATTTCTAAGCAGTTAAAAGTGAAATCAACTGACAACTAAAAGTAAAACAACCGTCCGGATAAAATTTAAGGCACAAGGTATAGGTCCATCATAGTCAATCACAGGCGCTCTTTAAAGTGCTCTCTGTGCACTCATTCATACAGGGCAACCACAGACAAAGAGCCATCACGCCATTGTCTGGGGATCCTGGACAGACACCAGGTGTTTGTCGCTATGCGGCAGGGTTAGCTGATGGATTCCACCGTCTACCTGTCTCTTGATCACGGCGGACGGGTCCACAGGCGTGCTCCTCGATACCCATGGGAGAGCAAGTGTTTAGAGCGATCATTCACTCTTCCACAAGTCCCGGTAGTATAGGGCCAGCTAACCTGAGGAAAATTTGTGTAGTATAATGACGTCATTAGAGGGATACGGTGGATACAGATATTGCGAGTAGACGTAGTAGTGAACTGAGGATGAATGAGTGTACAGAAGGCACTATAAAGTACGAATGTGTAAACCCCAATATAACGGCCACTACTCCACTGAGAAATAATCCTGGTTAGTAAAGTGTTTCACAATTTAATTTTTGCATTTAGTCACGTAATTTTGAAAAAGTATCTATAGAACTATCTACATTTTATGCAGGATGAGGTCTCTGCAAGCGTGGTCACTACTGCTGACCATATACTGTATAGTACGATGGTCAGGACCATGACCGCCTCCACTATGGGACCTTGTTTTCTGGAAAGAGGGAAACTAACGGCTTTTGACGAATCTTGGACACACACATTCGCCCTAGAGTTACCAAAGCCATACCTTCCTAACAGATCGTATGAGATTCCATCTTTGTCTTAAACAGGATGACACGGCATGTAAAAATACACACTTTCATGTTAGCTCCATCCTGACATTCGTACGTAATCTACACTCCCGCGCTAACTCAGACATGGCAACCACAATCAAATTAATTAAAACGCACATCCCAGACACGCCCGAACTTAAACCCAAAACTCGCCACACAGAGTTTGCTTCCTTGGCTCGGTTCAGTTGGCCAAGGGAGCATTCGGCCTCGCTACAGAACGTGACCTGAAAATAGTAACAGACCATATTCAACTCCTCGCATCCCAGGTACATCTCCGTGATGTCGGCTTTCAACACATCACAACACCACATGGCATCCTACATGACAGAGGATAAATATTCGCTTCGACAACATAATCAAAGCTATTAAACAAAATCATAACCAAATCGTTCAGACAGGCGCATTCACACTTAAAGAGGTCAAATGGTACGAGAACTATTTCTCCACTCCTCCCTTATGGTAGGCAGAGAAAATCAATTGGCTACGTTAGTACAGGGTCAGTCCCAGACACTACATTATCAGGTATATTCCAGTTACTAAGGCCGCCTGTCACCTAACATTGTTCCTTACCAACACTACTGACAACAATTCACGCTATTGCCGACCGCTTACATTCCATTATACCCAAAGTTTCAACTTCGATACACCGGACGCCACGATGTACTATACCGATGTTGATGTATTACCTTAGCCCGCCACAACAATATGTTGTTTGTGACATCACTAATACTCAGTCGTTTCAGACACTACTGTAATGAAAGTTTATAGGACGTCAACATTTTCCCTTCCAACCCACGTTAACTCCCCATGCGACTATCGTCAGAAATCTGGCCCCATATCTTGCTGTTTCCCTAGACAGTAAAAAGTTTGTCGAGTTTGAGAGTCAACAGTTCGAGCGATGCAACGGTGAATCACACATACACTGCAACATACTGCCCCCGAGTCCACGTTTTCAGCCCCTACGTGTACCTTGGCATTGTTCCTCTAATCATCGACTTGTCCACGAATTATGCACTTTCCACTTTTTACCTAACGGTACTGTTACTGATATGTTCGAACTAAGATCGGGCATGGTTGTCCTCCAAAATGTCCAAAATATCTCCTTTAAGTGCCCGACTGGCATTAAAACTCATAAAAGGCTGCAGTTTGTGCACCTCACCGCTGTTTTGCTCTTTGTTCAATCCAAGCAAACAATAAAACCATCCCTCCCCGGCTGAACCATTGTCAAATCCATGATAACACAACCCATCTCCGTTATCCTATTAACATTGGGTTCTTACGTCATTTTTTCAATTCCGGACCAAATTCGAAATACCATTCCTGCCCTACTAGCGCAGGAGCCGGTTCAATATAGGACCTGCCCTTCCAATCCGTTTGGCGAACGCAACCTTCCAAAAGATAATTAAGACAGATAAACAACTCAGTGTTAACTTGAAACACGTGGTCGCTCAAGCAAAGGCCAACCAAATCATATATACCGACCCTTCAGACCCACTCTTTATAAAATCACTGGGCGACGACTCCGCCGTATTTGATTGGTCAGACCCCTTCGCGTATCTGAATGTTGCAGTATGGGGAATAATAATTGTAATTGGCTGCCTGCTTTTCTCAATGAATCGCAGAATCGGTATGCTACGAGTACAGCTACTGGCCTGGGTATTACCGCTTTAGCAGTCACTACTACACCTAACATGTTAGTGTGGACACCTCTCCACCTCCAGCCCCGTAGTGACATCAACGCCCTCGGTAACTGACCTTTTATTAAATCCTACTTTAAACTTTGAAGTTGTTATCCTTGTTATCATGTTTATTGTGACTACTTCCTTTAATACTATATGTGTACAAACTGAAGACAAGAGTGACATCATCGGTCATATTATGCTTCTCTTCAGGGAACGATTCAATTTGTTTGAATATAGCTGACATCAACGCCCCACCTCTAGTCCTGTCAATCTCTAATACCAACTACTCTCCTACGTCGGTAGCCATACACCGCACCCTGTTGTTCTCCGATCAAGTCACTATCACCTGGCCAGACAACAACTTATCTGTAGTAAATATCACATCCACAACTCGCATCCCCTGCCCTCGGATGTAGCTATATTCAAGCTAAATACGAAACGACTAAGACGAATCATAAAAAATCCGGTATATACTCAATTTGTATATACTCCACGCTAACGTCCATTACCCACTTAAAGCTGTCGGGGACCGATCAATCCATCAGCCATCATGATCCACTTCACCCTACTTACAGCCAACGGCTGTACCCGTCTCTGGGATCCCAAATCTAATGAAAATAGCCGTACTCTTACATACATCCTCTTCACCAATTCCCATCCCATCCCCCTGATTACCTTTTTTGGTGTCGAACCATAGCTATGTATTAAAGTCAACTACTGACAACACAACCAACTCACCAATGATGGCCTGTCGCACATACATTATCGTTGGACACACAAAACATTTTACATAACACCGTGCATATTTCTTAGTCGATAGTAATTGTAGATTTGTATATACGTTGTTTAGTTGTAACATGTCTCAATAATGAGTCCACATTATAACTTATACATCATAGCACACTTATGTCAATTGTACCTTTTTGAACTATATATATATTCCACTGTACATCATTAAATTTTTGATATTATAAACCGATTGTATGTCGATACTATGCACATATATTGTTACCTCCCTGTATAATGATTGTATATCAGGGTTGGCCACAGCCACTTGGTCCTATAAGTTTTAATTAAGGACGTGAGGTCACGTCCTTACAATACGACGGGGAAGTATATCCAAGGCAGAACAGCTGATGCCCAGATGGCCCCCACATATACCATCCATTGCCTCCACTCATTAGGGCAGAATAATTAAACATACGCACTGGTCAGTGAGATACCGTTAACCTGAAACAACAGATAAAGGCAGGCCAGCCGGTCCCCACTGTGGTGCACACACGTGCTGGCCCCAAATATAGTAATGGGTCAGGGAATCTAACAACAAACTCTGTCTGGCAGAACATTTGGCCAAGGGCTTTGAGACAAAAGCAATGGAGATTCAGCGTCCATCAGTGTCAGCGCCCGGCAGAGATAATTAAGCTAATTAGAGACCTGACCATTAACGGTATACCACCACTGACCAGTAGCGAAGAGAGGGCCAGAGAACAAAGGACCAAGACTGACCAACCCTGGGTATATATATAACGGTACAGGTAAGTAATAGGCCAGGGAAGAGCCGAGCCGAATCTGCAGCCGAGTGTGCAGTACTGAATAAAGTTGTGGACCCACAGACAGACTTGTGTTGTTCATCACCCTCTTGGAGACACAGCACTAAGGCAGATAGACATCGCAAAGAACCAACATCTCTAAGTGCGATACCCGTTACGTCTCCATGTGTGTTAGCTTAGGGTCGTAAAATGACATTGTTCAGTAATGGGCCACATCGTTACACATGTTTGAAGACCCATGGAATAAGAAAATGACCTCTTTTCAGTAAAGGCATCAGGGGCCTCCCCGAAAAATGTTTTCCTTGAGGGAGCATTTCTCCCTAACCTTTGGATTTCACGATTTATGTGCACACACACATTTGTCAGGAAGGAAGATAGTAACGTCAAATATACAAATGCCGTGTCATTGCTGTGAACAAAGGTTATTGGAAACTGAAACTTATGTCACATTGAATCGAGTACCATTTTCCATTATTTACAACATCAGTAACTCTTGAACAATGAATGCAAAAGTCAAAAGATACTTTTGTTGTGAGTGAGTGAGTATGTTTTACGCCGCTTTAGCAATATTAAGCAATATCACGGCGGGGACACTAGAAATGGATTTCGCACATTGTACCCATATGGGGAATCGAACCCGGGTCTTCGGCGTGACGAGCGTTTTAACCAATCAGACTAACCCCACCACTCCGTGTCGTGCTTTTTGACCGCCCCTACTTTTGTTGTGAGGGGTCTTGATGTTTCACTAGGCTGCAATTGCCCGTCTAAAATTTGCATGAGACGTGGCAGACTGTTCCCATGGTTGTTGTTTCTGTAGGTGAAATGCATCAGACCTCGGTTTGAAAAACTTTACCCCAGATCTACGGTGGTTGATTAGCTATCGCTTTCTCGCCTTTAAAATTCTGGAGGCGAGGAAAGCGATATCACGAGACGAGAAAGCGATAACACGAGATCGAGAGCGATAACACTTGAGACGAAAAGCGATAACACGAGACGAGAAAGCGATAGCGCAAGACGAGAAAGTGATAACGCGAGACGAGAAAGCGATAACGCGAGACGAGAAAGCGATAGCACGAGACGAGAAAGAGATAGCAAGAGACGAGAAAACGATAGAGCGAAAAAAGCGAAAAGATGAAAAGCGAGAAAGCGATATAATAAGACGAGGTAAAAGCGATAGAGCGAGAAAACCATAGAGCGATAGAGCGAGCATAATTCCCCACCTCGTGTCTGCACATGACGTCTTGCCTGCGCGTATTATCTGATCCAACAGGAGCCTTTTATCGCAATTTGTTTTAGTCGTATAGAAACAAAATGAACATGCTTTCAAATTCTGTGGCATTTATGTAATTAATCCTTTAACTTGTCCAAACAATAATCCAACAATAACTCCAGAAACCGAGAGTGTGTTTCTCGTTGAAATAAATGAGTGCTCTTTAAAAAGTCTGTAAAAAGGATAACAATCATTTAATTTATTGTTACATGACTAATTAGGCCTGATTAATTCCTGGCTTCCATATTTCTTTATTGTCATTTCCCTTGTTAAATGCCGCCGCCATTTGTTATCTCATTATCCATGCCGGGATTAATAACTCCCTCGGCTTCCATTTTGTCCATCCACGCTACCAATTTAGCGCCACTGGCTCCCCTTGTTATCTTATCACTGTTCTTAATACCGTTTGTTTATCACTCGTACGCCCTTTAGCTTCTCAGTTTCTCTAGTTTTAGTCCCTTCCATTTACTCGATGAAGGATAAGAATATACCTGCGTAACATCGTGTTCCACAAATACAGAAGTTGACGTCCATAAATTCTCTCTTTAAATACCTTTAGGTATTTTATGAGTCCTGTTTTTTATGAGCCCTGTTTTCCACTGGCTAAGCTTACACATTTGCCTACTTCCCCATGTTACCCGTGAAGATCCGGGTTAGATTGGTCTTCAGCAACACATGCTTGTCGTAAAATGTGACTAACGGGATCGGTGGTCTGGCTCGCTGACTTGGTTGACACATGTCATCGTATCTCATGATGCTCATGATGTTGATCACTGTATTGTCTGGTCCAGACTCGATTATTTACAGACCGCCGCCATATAGCTGGAATATTGCCTAGTGCGGTGTTAAACAACAGACCAACCAAAACCAACTCCCCTGTCGGGCTTTATTGTATCAGTGATGGAATTTTATACACCCTGTGCCTTTCATCTGGTCTTTTATGTGTGCATATTTCACACATATATATTTTCTACTATTATGTGAAAAGGTATTGTTCTAAATGTATGTGCCATAGTCTCCCATATACTTCTACTACAAGAATGGCTTGTGTACATACGTATATGTCTGTCTGTCCTAATATCCCAACTATCGACTTGAGACAGTGCCACATAATTCATCGACCGACGTGGTAGGTGTTTAGCAAAAACGTAAATTAATAACATTATTACTTGGGGAATAAAGCACTATATCATAAAACACCTGTATATTGAAAATAATTTAGTTTAGATTGGGAGCTGAGAAGCTGGACGTAAGAGGGTTGGGAAGTTGATTGTGTATAAGTTCAACCATGTAAGTAGTGTAAAGTATATTGTGACTTCATTGTGCAGAACATATGCTAAGCTAATACGGAGTCTACTAAATAGATGAAAAGGGCAAAATGTTAAAAAAGCAGGGCTGGGGAGGCAGGGTACGGTGTTTATGTTTTGGTTGTGAAACGTGCGGTGTGTGGCCTTGACATTGTGAGTTAGTCTGATAATCGAGTTCACACTGTAATGTGTGGCTGGATAGGATGTGTTAAAGGGTTTATTCTGAATTTAAGGGCGCCTTTTTGTTTGGTGTATTGATATTTTGTTTTCAGACCCAGTCTGGTAGTTATTGAGTAATTTGGTTTCTTCTAGTAACTACCAGGTAGTAGGTACTAGTCTTTGCACCTATGGCTTTTTGGTGGGGTGGGGTGGGTGCTTTATAAGTTGTAAGGAGTTTAGTATATCATGGTTGGTAGGGATAGAGAAGGACGGGAGCGCCTCACCCAGTGTGTATTACGATAAAAAGTTTTGTAGATGTGTAGGAGGGTTTTATTTGTCTGCATTCCAGTGAATGTCACCTATTGCTCTCATTCGATTTGAATCGTTTTGACGTGAGTTGACCAAATTATAAACAAGATGATAAGCAGGTAGATAGTTCCATGTATTGAACGAGTTTCAAGTCCTCCCTCTTGAAACGAAAAATGTTACGAAAGGTTAATTGGATACACGTGTCACCAATCAGCTTATCAAAACCTGTGCGACCACGTCCAGCTGTAACCTTTACTTTACTTTAGTTCAATAGACCACCAATGGTGGTATAAAAGTACATATCACACACATCAATTACTACATACAGTCAAAATGGCGGCGGAGTGTAACAATATATTGTAGGAAATCAGTTGTTGGTCTATTATCTAACTTCATTAGAAGAAAACTTGGGGAAAAGATGGGTTTTGATAGATATTTTGTTGGCAGAACGGGTTTGAAATTGGTGGACCAAAACGTCGCTTACATTATAATAAAGAAGTTGTATATCCATAAAACTTTCTCCCGTTGTTGTTCAGCACATCAACCTCTAAATGCCATCCAAAGAAGTTCACTATATATGGCTAGACCAGCGCTTTAAACTGCTTACTATTTTCAGCTTTGATTAGACGAACGTTTGACTGCATCGTTTTATTTGCTTAGATTTCACCATTGACTGTGGAATGGTTCTGTTACTACATTGAGGTACTTAAGGTGCTTTTACTGTAACAGGCGCCTCTATATCTTTGGGTAGGAGCGATTTAGGTTCATGTAGGTGAAGATCTTCAGTTAATAAATTCCTTTACTGTCTTTATTAATTAAAAACACAGCTGTATTTTGATCACCCTGTAAAAATACAATAAAGTGACATAAACATAAAATGGTTAAGTTCCCATACCTTATTTCTAATTCCTTCACCTATAACCAAACAGCGAGAACTGATAATTATTATAGAATTGTCTACATACGGCTCATTTATAGTGTCACATACTTCAAAACTCTCTGGAATGTGATGTATATGTAATAAACTGAGCTGCAAAAGAAACGCAAGTTCTTTTGATTGAAATGTAAGTGTAACTCACGATTCCATTAAGCAGGAATTGAACTGATGGCGTACAATATGGCGCCGTCACAAACCATAAACAATGAACCTAAAAGATGAATAGTGCTCTTCGGCGACATATATATTGGGTAAAACTCACACACCACTCAAAGTGATTGTATCTTAGGATGATGGTTTGATGTGGTTGATTGTCTTAGTGCTGGCCACTCATCACCATGAAAAGATACTCGTCACAATGCCTTATTTGTCATAGGTCCCTCCCCCTTTCTCTGGCTCTTCCGACACATTTGTCAGCTACAATAATATCATAATTCAAATAAAACCATAGAAAAGAACCAACCAGGACTACAAAATTCGTAAACTTTTTGGAAGCAGTACACATCAAGAAACTAGGATCCGCTCCTCAACAGAGATGAAGGATAGTACATTCCCACGCCTACCATCACTTGATAAAGTAATCAATAATATTTCTTGTGTACATTATCTGTTTCCAATCAACTATGTGTACATCAACCCCATCCATTGTATATACATCCACCTGTCTTCCTATCAGTTGTATAAGTTCTAATTCAGTCCTTTAGTATATCACCCCTCTGGCTTCCAATCAACTTACTCAATCTCTTATACAAGCGTTGTACATCAACCCTCATTTATTGTATAAAACAACTCATTCCCCTATCTACTGTAATAACAACTCATGTATATATATTCTCTCAATTTGTTACTCATGTATCACTTGTTTGACAACGATATTAGAATCAAGAAGTTGTATATCCATAATAATTGGCTCACATCTTCATCAACCCAACTTCTAAAATGCCCATCAAAGAAATAATTCAATTGGTTGCTGGATTAAGCTTGGTTACATAATTCGAATCCAGTCATGTCATGAAATATGTATTCCCCTTTAGTCACATCACAAAAAATGAACGTTTCCGTTATTTCACGATATGACTATTACATACGTGCAAATTGCATGACAAAGGAAAGTCTATATCTGTAGTAGATATTCTCTTAAAACGTCAAGTCATACAAGTCATTCATGGCAAGAACATTACTGTTCCATTTAATACGCCATCCAGAAATTACGAATGGCGACTGAGCTCCCCAGTTTGCAGCTCGATCATGCGCAGACAGGACTGAATTGTGGGTAATATCGCTTTCCGCCTCTATCGCTTTCTCGCAATAATATCGCTTCTCGTCTCCGTAAGTTATCGCTTTCGTCTCTGTAGTTATCGCTTTCTGTCTCGTCCTATCGTGATATCGCTTTCGCCCCTGACTTTTATGGCGAGAAAGTTGGACACCCTAATCAGCCATCATACAAATCAGCCCTATCAGATCACATCCCAGACAATAGGACTGCACTTTATTACCGGTATACGGGTATATCGCAAACATACTTTTTCAAAACGATACTGTATTGCAATAAAATATAGTCGAGAACCGGTACACATTGGGTGTTGAACATATGGCGGAGGTTTTTAGCATCTCTTTAAGGTTTAAAATAAAATCTACAATACATACCGTCATTCCGGAACAAATGTTTTCCTTCGTTGGTCCTAAAGTTCCGCCTACTGCCTTACCATGTTTATGCTATAATACCGTAATACTATAATATCATAATACGGTAATATACAACCGGTACATTAGCATTAAAAAAGAACTCTTGACTAGGCACCCTTAATTTTGAGACAGCCGGTGCCATCGCAGTCCCCAAAACCTTCATGTTTAGGGACTTGGCGTAATGTAGAAAATAGGGATTGATGTACACAATTAGTGACTCACTGTTCAAACTTAAGTTACCAATATATCGCAACATGGGTACCTTGAATCGCACCGGTAGCTGGCAATACATACGGCCTTCGCCAATACACTGACTGATCTGATCTTGAGTTGGTTTACGCCGCTTCTTGTAGCAATATTCCAGCAAATATCACGGCGGGGACACCCAGAAATGGGCTTTACACTTTGTGCCCATGTGGATCTGAACTTTACCGTAGTCTTCGGCGTGACGAGCCACCGCCGCAACCATTAGGCTACCCCACCGCCAATACCACGCCACATAACTGTACCTGACAATCCCGACAACAACATCCAGTGGGATAGAGGTAAAGCCGTAACGACCAACCCTCAAAAGGGGTCCTGCTGTGGCCTTTGTGTTCTTGATCCAGCTCGCCCGTGAACAAAGAACCCTCTTGCGTGATGCTGTCTAATTTTCTTTGGTTAAAAGAGGATAATCTAGGTTTCTTGACATGTAAAATCTGAAACCCACTGTTTATAGAATTCTGCCTTTAAGCCCCGGTGACGTGCGTGTTGATAAATGCATGGTGTAAACACGTTATATTTGGGAATACACTTTCTCAGTAAAGTGCCAGATTCTAGTAAGTATTTTATTGAGTTAAGTCCATCTGGGATTCGAACCCATTAATTCCTCAAATCTAATGGCCAAATACACAAAAGTCAGCCATCATCTAACCCAATTAGCAAATCGCAGTTTCCACAAAAATGACACAACATGTAATTTCTAGGATGTTGTCATGGTAATGCCATATAGTGCAAACATTTGCTTTGATAATTCATATCAATATAGGTATGATATAGATGATATCTCGAAATTACCGAAATTTTTACAAATGTATCTCTTTGCAGTGGTTCCTTTCACATGGAAGCAAAGAGGAGTAACTCACTCAGGTTGTAAACCATGCCGACACACACATAATGTTGACGAGGGACTGTGGGGTAGCCTAGTGGTTAAAGCATTCGCTCGTCACGCTCTGAAGACCTGGGGCCCGTTTCCACAAAGCCCTCTTACCGGTACGACCTCGTAAAGCGAAGGTCGTCGTAGACCACACCTCTTACTTTTTACCCTGTTTCACAAAGACCTCGTATATTTACACTGTGCCGTAAACAGCCCAAAATTTTAGGACATCGATTGACCTGTCGTAAAATGCTTTAGGAGGTCGTAAAACACTACAAAAGATGGGGTCAACGATTATGCCGCACTGCAAGTGATTAAAACGCGCCAACAAAGAAGACCTGAGAAATTTTGAGACAGGTCGAACGTTAGCTCGACACTCACATGTTGTTTTCTTAACTGCAGAGAAAGTTAGTGCCTCAACTGAACAAACCTACAAGGCGTTCACATGCTATTCCGACCTCCTGCAAGTGTTGTGTACACAGAGGTATTTGGCAAAAGGGTTTTCCTCAGTGAAATCAGGGGATCTCCATGGAGTATCCCGAGCTAGTGTGTCAAGAATACTCCGCGACACCGCTAGTGCTCTTCGGCCGTGTATCTGGACTTGATTAAAACCCAAGGTGCCACAGGGACATATGTCCCTTCCTCTTCAACCCTCACTTTGAAGTCCAATAAAATTCTAAATATATCACGCACACAAATATACTTCAGCAGTTTATATTCCGTGGGAAATTCCCTGTTCTTGATACCATCCACTAAAATCTCAGACAAAGCTAAAGTGCTTAATTAACCTTTCAAAATAGGCTTCAAATGTAAATGTCGCCATTTTATACACGATACGAAATCACGATTCACAGCATTTATTTGCTGTACAGTGTAGACAGTATGTTTTCAAATGTGAAAATCGGATAATTACTGGGGAGTACGGAATTTCAAAAATAACATATTAATGATAACTGAAATCAGTTTTCATGATATCACTAATGATAATCTGAAACGTTGCCTTTGAACCTAGAATCGGTTTGGATGTTTTCGAAAATATATTTACACGAACGCCGAAGTGCGTCGCCTCGTATTGATAGTGTTTACACAAATCACGTCTCGCAAAGGCCGGTATTGAGACGCCTATTACATCACGTATATTTCATAGTCAGCTGCGACAAATGCATCACTGAATTCCCCATACATTTTAAAATCAAATCACAGTTGGTCTTTGTTACCAATACCAACTGGATATTGGGTGTGAAAACAAACGCTGTGCTCGGAAGACTGCGCTACTGTACTTTTGAAATGTAAACAAAGAAAAGATCCGATTTATACTGCGTAGCAGCCGGCTATTCATTGCTTGCAATGGCTCAATACCTTTAGAATATGTATGGAAAGAGTATCATAGCAAGAAAGAGGAAATTAAAAATAGATACAATGCAATGATTTGATACTTCATAAGAAATTGTCAAAGTTTCCGTGCAGCGTGACGCCATAACAGATGAAAAATCACGCAGAACGACAGCGGTAATTATCAGCATTTCTGGCTTCTTCTCTTACTTACAAAGAAAACATATAACAATACACAGATAGTCAGAGTCACTCTGATTACTTACATTTCATATTTATGTACAAACGATCCCTGAATCAAGGGAAGAGTCCTCGCAAAATCCTGTGTACCCTTGTCAGCGAAGCCGCCATTTGGGAGATAAACATCATGTTTGACTTTTCGGGTGTTATTGAGCATTTGAAGCACGGAATATTAAATACCAATAACACCCGAAATTGGACCTCGCACATGATGTTTATCGACACTCTAAACACAAAAGTAAACCAAAAGGTCCACACACGTTTTTGTGTTTGCACTCATTGACATCGTGTACGGGTACAGCAGTGAAATGTCATCAACCGGCCGTTTCGGTTGTCTCCCATGGTAGCAGCATCTGAACTGCTTGCATTTGTGACGTCATTCGGACTTTACGTCACAATATGATTTGAATGACGTCATCACAGCTGACGACGTAACAATACAATGGTGTACGCAGCGAATTTCCGGGAATCGGAAATACTATTTATTCACGTTTCTTTTCAACCAATCAGATTACAGAACACAGCGACTTTGGCTTCATAACTTTGTAAGAAAATCGGTCATCGGTTGTGATGTCACATCGTCAACATTGTTGTAGTACTACATATTAGGCAATATCGCAGGTGAGGGAAGGTCGATGAAAAAAGTAAACACAATCGTCCTATCCTTCTGATTACACTTTCTAGTACTATGATGTATATTTTGCGTATCATTCAGGATATTTTTTTTCATGAAACCAATTTCCAGTAGATTCCCACCTCCATTTGAAATTTTGTTCAATATCATCATATCATACGTGGATATAGGGTATAATGTTTTCATTCTTTGAAAGTTTTTGATTGTTTGAATAAAAAGTTACAAAACAAATTGACACATTTAGTGTATCACACCATATTTTTAAACCTTTTACACAAGTGTTAGGTAGATCAAGCGTAAGCCATAACTGCAAATATTGACTCTTTGTGGTCCTTATAGTGCAACATTCAATACATTGGGACTACTATTGCAGTTTCATATGAACGTAGTTAATGGACAAAGGATTTAATTCAAACCTTTATAAGTAAAACTTGATAAATATTAATGGAAATGATTTATACATTTTATCTTGTAATTTTCAATGAAATTTAGTGAGAGAATCCAAAATAATTCATTTTATTGATATATGTTTCCACCATAAGATAACCTGCACATTGAATTAAAAACATAACATTTTACATTGTTATTCAAACCGTATTTTTATTTTGAAATACTTCGGGAATAACAAGATAAGCAGGTGCCCGTTCGGTCTCTCGCTTTTATGCGTTGCTATGCAACAAAGTACCTCTTATACAATGTGTACGACATGTGGATTTAGGACCGCGTCGTACCACATGGATATGACGTCTTTGTGAAACGGTCGTAAAGGAGTAACAGAAGAAGGTCGTAAACAAGGTCGTATCTACGACCTCCCTAAATTTAGGAGGCTTTTGTGAAACGCGGGCCAGGGTTCGAATCCCCATATGAGCAATAAATGTGGCAGCCTACTTAAAAGTTCCCCGTCGTGATATTGCTGGAATACTGCTTAAAACGGCGTAAAACTATACTCTACCACCACTATTGATTATTCTTCATTTGACTAAATCTTGGTAAAACGCTAGCAACTCCGATGATGTACCATTCATCCCCTGAAGTCATATATTTTAAGACAATTATGGCGTGTACAGTTAATATCGTCACTGGGTTCGTCTAACAGCATGATAACGCTCATTCCGTCAACGCCACACTGTTGCATCTTTCTGAAGTGCAAAGTAAACCGTGATTCATCCGAAAACAAATGACTGCCCAACGATCGGATAAACGTGTTTTGATACTTCTTCGCTTTATGTATTTCGCCATATATGTTTGGCGATATTTATATACGTACCAGCCATTGGGTCTTTGATTGTTGTAATATTCTCGATCCCGGTTAAATGCAAATATGTTTAAAAAGATCACTTACTTCAGAAAAAGCAACAGGGTGAAGCAAGGTACACTCCGGATTACACTCCGTGTTATCTCTACAAGTTGACATATATCTTGCTTCTCTTTGCATTCCACTTTCTAAATCCCTCTCACAGATTTTGATCATTTACTTCTTCTCTCATTTGTGAAAATTCATCTCCGGGCCTTCCAATAATTCCTTTATATGTTCTCATGGTTACAAAAGTCAACGTCAAAGGTATACAGTAAACAAATAAATACAGAAAAGGTGAAGATATCTGCTACAAAGATGTTGTCATCATTAGCTGTTGAATATTGGGACTTTCAGTGAATTCCATTTTACAATTGAATTTTTCTATTTCCATTTATTTCTCTTTAAAATAAAGAAAAATATTTTACTAATTTTTATAATCAAATGAATTTTGGAATTGATTTTTTAACATTACATAAATTGATATTTTTGAGATATCAAGATTTATTCATAAGATTATAATTGATATTTATTAATGAATGATATTCATCATTACACTTTTGTATAAATAATTTTGTTAAGTTAAAAACTTGGAACATCTTTTAATCCATATCTGTTTAAACTTTGTGTCATCTAAATTCACAATCAGCTACTAAGATTATCATTTTAGACATCACCTTGTCATAAAATAATCTTTAAACCTTTGAGAGCTCTTTTAATATATTTCTTTGGAAAACATTGATGTATAAATCTGTAGGAAGGGATGATTTTTGTCCTTTTAATAACATTCTTTTAAAAATCAGGTAAGATGTGAAGTAGACAGTTATAGTCTAATATTGTCCTCTGTTGTAGACCCGTGAAGGTCCGGGTTAGAACCGAACCATCAGCAAACCCATGCTTGTCGTAAGAGGCGACTAACGGGATCGAGGGTAGTCAGGTTTGCTGACCTGGTTGATACATGTCATCGGTTCCCCAGTTGCGCAGATCGATGCTCATGCTGTTGATCACTGGATTGTTCTGGGTCCAGACTCGATTATTCCACAGACCACCGCCGTATGGCTGGAATATTGCTGAGTGCGGCATAAAACTAAACTCCCTCACTCACTCACTCACTTATGTTGTATTTTAACTTAAACTTAAAAGACATACATCCATGTTCATCACATAAATCTTTTGCTGTCAAAGTAACCTTATCAGCCCAGTGTCTCATAACATGGCAAGTTTTATTATAATTATGCTTGAGCCATAATGGTTCCCGCAAACATATCTGAATCAACATTTAACTTTTTACACAATAACTGTTTCATGCTATACCAGCCACATAAAGAAACTGTGCATTGTCAAAATATTATCCCAGTTGATAAGTACGATAACAATGTCAAAGGTACATATAAACTTTAATGGAGGGATCATGAGACCATAACAAGTCGGGAGAATTTCAATTGAAAAGTCAATCACAATGACGTCACGAGTCCACAAGCGGGACAGGGGTCAAACGACCATGTCACAAGCTCAATAACGGGTATGTCCACCATCGGCATTGAGAACAGCAGTGCATCGACGACGCATAGAGCCTATCAAACGTGCAAGGAAGGCTTGTGGGATGTCACGCCAGATTCTCTCAAGTTCTGTTGCAAGGTCAAGGACGTTATCTGGCGGATGAGGAAGACGGCGTAGACGTCGATCCATCTCGTCCCAAACATGCTCTATCGGGGAGAGATCCGGTGAATTTGCAGGCCAAGGCAGTAAGTCAACGCTGTGGTGTTGCAAGAAATCCATAGCAACCCTTGCCGTATGAGGGCGGGCATTGTCCTGTTGGAATGTTAACCCAGGGCCATGACGTTGCAGAAAAGGAATTGCCACAGGTCGAAGAATCTGATCCCTGTAGCCCACACCAGTTAAGTTGCCCTGAACAATCACCAAAGGAGTTCTTTGGCGTGCTGTTATTCCACCCCAAATCATCACGGAACCACCACCAAAGCGATTCCTCTCCAAGACACAGGCCTGTGCATAACGTTCTCCCACGCGTCTATAGGCACGTTGACGTCCATCACTATGGGAAATGTTAAACCTGGACTCATCTGTAAAAACAACATTTCTCCACCAAAACAAGGGTCTGCGGACATGATTTCGGCACCACATTCGGCGAGCTTGTCGATGACGTTGTGTCAGGATAGGCCGTATGGCGGGACGTCGTGGTCTGATCCCGTGATGACGTAAACGTTGTCGAACTGTGTTGGGGTGGATACGGCGAAGTCCTGGGATGGTTCGGGCAGTCATCACTGCAGTCTGAAACCTGTGGCGAAGATGGGTCACCCTTATCCATCTGTCCTGTCTTGGCGTTGTTACACGTGGACGTCCAGAACGTGGCCGATCGATGACGTCATTTGTGTTTCTGGTAGCGTCTCACCAGTGCAGAAATGGTGTTCCGGGTGGCAGTGGAAATGTGCAGCCACTCGTCGTTGAGACATTCCCCACGGACCATCCCAATGCCCCGCTGACGTTGTGCAGACGTGAGCCTTGGCATGTTATGCGTTTCAATAGCCAGTTTAATTTTGAACGATCGTAAAGGGCAGGGGTTGAGCTTTCCAAAGACAGCATTGTGTGTAGTATCTATTTGCTCTTGTTTCTCTTTCCGGAATGCACGTGCAACAACGTATTGCACGTCTCAAGGACGAACCCACTGACGTCAATGGAACGTGGCACGCCCGCATGTTGGATACATGTCACTAATCTCTGAGTTTAAACCATTATGTGTCTACACAGGTTTGATAAATTTAGATTTTCAATTTCTTTTGCATGCACAGCTCTCTTTATGTGCCTAGTATATATATATGCTTTGGTTTACATTTCGGTAGTCTGTGGAAAAGGTACAGAGTACTTTCTTTAAGCTGTGTCTTGGGTGGCGTCACTACACGAACGTCAAGTAGTGTTACATTAGGTGATGTAGGTAGACGTTACATTTGTATAGGCGAATCCTTTGTCCTGAAAATTTAATAAATGACTCATGAAAACGGGTGAAAATGAAGTGCACCCCCTCCTTTTCTCAAGAGTTGCAGAATCGGCATGAGAAGATTTCAAATTTCTGTTTTGATTGTGTATTATGGTTTCAAAAACTATAACTGGCGATGAAAAATATATATCAGAATTATTTTTTTTCTATGAACTTATTGAGTGCATATTGTAAATATCGCTGTACATCGCATAAGTTGAAAGTGCAGCATAAAACACAGGGGCTGATACAGCTTTTGAGAAAGGGGCCTGCACCTTTGTGGGTGGGTGCACACTTCATTTGCACGAGAGTGTCAATGGTCATTTTATAAAAACTTTCAGGACTGAAGAGGGGAGGGGCATGTATGGGATGAAAAGGACCGACGTCTACGC